GACTTAGCAGAGCAGTTTCAGAAATTCTTAGCCACACAACCACATGCTATGTCAGCCTCCACTCATATAGGTTTGTTATCACAGAATCACTCAGGTATTTCTTCCTCTTGGATCTTTGACTCAGGTGCTTCCAAACACATGTCGTCTAATTCAAAACTCTTTAATGACTTGCGTCCTTCCAACCCATCTATGTCTGTTATGACTGCTGATGGTACACCATTACCTTTAGCAAGTGTTGGTTCAGTTAATACACATAATTTGACACTGTCAGATGTCTATTGTGTTTCAGCTCTTACTTTGAATCTTATCTCTATTGATCAATTGTGTGATTCTGGATACTTAGTTCAGTTTTCTTCTACTGGTTGTCATGTGCAGGATCCTCAATCTCAGAAGCTGATTGGGATAGGCCGTAGATAAGGGGGGTTATATGTTCTGGACAATTTAAGATCATCACACGTTGCAGCCTCTGGTGTTGATTTGTCATCTTTTTCTTTGAATTCATCATCTTCTAGTTTTCATTTGTGGCATTCTCGCCTTAGACACGTTTTCGCTAGTCGTTTAAAATTTTTAGTTTCTAAGGGTCAATTGGGAAATATACAAACTCATGATATTTCTGATTGTAGTGGTTGCAAATTAGCAAAATTTTCTGCTTTACCTTTTCCTCGAAGTATTTCTCATTCTGTTGCACCATTTGATCTTGTTCATTCTGATGTGTGGGGACCTGCTCCAGTTACTACAAAAGGAGGGTCTCGATATTATGTGTCATTTATTGATGATTATAGTCGTTATTGTTGGGTTTATCTTATGAAGCGACAATCTGACTTTCTTTCTATTTATCGATCATTTAGAGCACTTATTAAAACCCAACATTCAACTGTAATCAAATGCTTTAGATGTGACTTGGGTGGAGAGTATACTTCATCCGAATTCTCTAAATTGCTTACTCTTGACGGCACAATTCATCAAACCTCTTGTGCTAATACCCTACAACAAAATGGTATTGCTGAACGAAAGCATAGGCACATTGTGGAAACTGCTCGTTCACTTCTTTTATCTGCCAAAGTTCCAAGTGAGTTTTGGGGAGAAGCAGCTCTTACTGCTGTTTCTTTAATTAATAAGATTTCATCTTCCCACAATTCAGGTTTATCACCTTTTGAAACATTGTATGGGCATCCTCCGGATTACTCCTCATTGAGAGTCTTTGGTTGTACTTGCTTTGTTCTTCGTCCTGAAGTTGAACGTAATAAGTTGACATCTCGGTCTGCTATTTGTGTTTTCTTGGGTTATGGGCAAGGGCAAAAGGGTTATCGTTGTTTCGATCCCATTAATAATAAATTATATGTCTCTCGTTATGTCGTGTTTCTTGAGCACATTCCATTCTTCTCCATTTCTGATAATACTCATAACGTGACCAAAATTGACCTCATTTATATTGATCCATTCTCTGATGATATAAACAATTCACCTTCCCATACCCCATGTACTATTGATTCTTCATGTCCTACAGGTACACATGCTTCAGATCATGCTACCCCTCCTCCTTCTATGGCTTCCCAAGCACCGCCTGAGATTGTTGATCCAACTCCTGCTTCATCTCTTCCTCGCTATTCTCAACGTATTCGTAATTCCACTCAATTACCTGATTTTGATTATTCTTGTTATTCTGAGTCCTTTTGCTATCTTCTAACATCCATTCATAAGTTAGTTGAACCATCTTCCTATAAAGAAGCTATTTTGGATCCTCTTTGGCAACAAGCTATGGCTGATGAACTTTCTGCTCTACATAAGACAGACACTTGGGACTTGGTTGAATTGCCTTCAGGTAAACATACTATCGGTTGTCGTTGGGTTTATAAGATTAAAACCAAATCTGATGGTTCGATTGAACGCTACAAAGCTAGATTGGTTGCTAAAGGTTTTAATCAACAGTATGGTTTGGATTATGAGGAGACTTTTGCTTCTGTTTCCAAGATGACCACTGTTCGTACACTTATTGCAGTTGCATCTGTTCTTTCAGTGGAGTCTCTCTCAATTGGATGTTAAAAATGCCTTTTTAAATGGAAATCTTCAAGACGAGGTTTATATGGTTCCTCCTCCTGGTCTTTCTCACACTTCTGGATTTGTTTGTAAACTCAAGAAGGCACTTTATGGCCTCAAACAAGCACCTCGTGCCTGGTTTGAAAAATTTTCCACTGTTGTTAGCTCTCTTGGTTTTACATCCAGTCATCATGACTCCGCTTTATTCTTTAGATGCACTTCAGCTGGTCGCATTCTATTATTGCTATATGTTGACGATATGATTATTACTGGTGATGATGTTGATGGAATTGCAAGTTTGAAATCAGAATTGGCTTGTCGTTTTGAAATGAAGGACTTGGGCACACTGTCTTATTTTTTGGGGATCGAGTTGCTTCTTCTCCTAGAGGTTATCTTATCTCTCAGTCCAAGTTTACTATGGATGTCATTGAGCGTGCTCGTCTTACTGATAATAAATCTGCTGATACTCCTCTTGAGTCCAATGCAAGATATTCATCCTCTGATGGTGTCCCATTGACTGATCCCACTTTGTATCGCACTATTGTTGGATGTCTAGTTTATCTTACCATCACACGTCCTGATATTGCCTATGCTGTTCATATTGTTAGTCAATTTGTTTCAGCTCCTACTACAGTTCATTGGGCAGCAGTTGTTCATATTTTGCATTATCTTCGTGGTATATGCTTTCAGAGTCTTTTGTTTCCATCAACCTCAACCTTAGTTCTCCGTGCTTACTCTGATGCTGATTGGGCCAGCGACCCCATTGATCGCAAGTCCACTACGGGTTTTTGTGTATTTTTGGGTGATTCACTTATTCTCTTGGAAAAGTAAGAAGCAGACTGTTGTTTCCCGCTCCTCTACAGAAGCTAAGTATCGAGCTATGGCATCCACCACCACTGAGATTGTGTGGTTGCGATGGTTACTTGCAGACATGGGTGTTTCTCATTCCTCCCCAACTCCCATGTATTGTGATAATAATAGTGTCATTCAGATTTCTCACAACTCTGTGTTCCATGAACGCACAAAGCATATTGAGATTGATTGTCATCTGGTTCATCATCATCTGCAGACTGGCACCATTTCCCTACCTTTTGTTTCTTCATCGTTGCAGCTTGCTGACTTCTTCACTAAGTCTCATCCGGTTCATCGTTTTCGCTTTTTGCGTGAGAAACTCTCGCTGCTTCTTGCTTTAGCATCTTGAGTTTGAGGGGGGATGAAAACGTGTGTTATATTTAGTTAATTACTTATATTTAGTTATTTATTTTAGCATAATACGTAATTTCCTATTATTGTAAGTTTCCTATTATTTTTAGGTTTCCTTGTAGTAGTATAAAATCTGTTTTATACTTTCTTTGAAAACTTAATTGATGGCTTAATAGATTTTTGTTCCCTCTTTATTCTTCTTCTCTTTCTCTTCTCTTTTCTTCCTTTTGAATTGATTCAACATATTGGTTTGAGATTCATTATATTGTTATCACTTTGAACAATAATTTTGTTCTAAAAATCCGTCATTTCCATGAAACTGGAAATTTCATCTCCAAAAAGTGCTGTTTGTTTGGAGATTGATGTGGAAAAATTAATGGATAAGTAAACTCACAACCCGTCCGATAGTGAGGAGGAAAAGGGTTGGACTATGGGTGGAGGAGAAGCATTTATTTACTTATTTCTTCAACAAAATGAGAGTATATTTTCCTTTCCAATTTGGAGAGAAATCATATTGGAAGACTTGTTAAAAAACCGAAGATTGAAAATTTCGAACCACCTTATCTCAAAATTAAAATTTATCTTTAACACGCCCCCAGGGCACATCTCCAAGTGGTAAAAGGGGAGGGTGGAGAAATCCAGCTTTGCTTGAGGCTGCTGCGTCAAGGGTTCGAATCCTGAAATATGGATTTGACTCTTGAGTAAGTGCAAGTGTACAAGCAGCCTTCCACCCTGTACCCTTGGAGGCATAACCTGCGATTTACCTTTCTCACGATGCTCCAGGGCAGGGGTGGTGGAGGACCCTTAAAGTTAGGGTTTAACCTTTTTTTTTTTTTAAATTTATCTTCAACACACCTCATCACGTACAGGTAGATTTATTTGTAGCTGTCATTACTCATATGTCATATCACGCACAGAAGATGTTCCTTTTGTAATAATTCAGAAGAACTAAAAGTTCTAGACTATACTGAGACAGCTCTGTGGTGGTCGGTCCCTGGATTGAGGGGACGATTATTCTTAATTTACTACGAGAACTACTTTTAAGAAAGAACATGTCATGCTGTCACAGCATGTTGGTCGATCATGTTTGAATGCTGTGGAAGAACTCAGGGTTTTGGCCGGATGACAACACCTTTTACCATTAGCCCTGTCTTCCATTTGCCACCGTCGTACTCATACAGTGAAACTTCCATTTCTCCTACGTTCTGATCGGCTGATGTTTTCAGTTCTCCTGCTGGGATTTCTATCCACTGTCCTCTTGGCTTGTCCATCAATTTTACTTTTTGTTGTTGTTTGCTTCCATCGGGTAGAGTGAGTCTAACATTCACAGGAACTTCCCAGCCATATGCAGGATCCTTCAGCTTCAAAACAAATACGACTTCATACATTATTTCCGGTGAAAGGTTAGCTGTATCGAATTTTCCGTGAATATCTAGCCAGCAAACGTTTAGCAGTTCAGCAACAGCAACGGATTTATCACTGCAAAACAACAAATAACCTCAGGATTTTCGAAGTCTATATTATAAGTTTTATGGCATATGTGATACTCCCACATAAAATTAGAGTCCGTTTGGCCCCGTTAATTTTCATTTTGCATTTTCAGTTTCAAATTAAGTTGGCCTGCCGTATTTGGATAAAGTGTGAATTGATGACCAAAATACGGGTGATTTTGACTTCTGAATCCATTGATAAGTCCAAAAAAGTCATTGATTTCCTATTTTACCCTTTCATTACGTTTTTCCACACAGCAATTCCTTTAAGTTGGTGTGGGGGTAGTAACGTAATTTTGACTTGTAAAAGTAGGGTAACAACGTCCACTATGCTTCCAATGGCAAAGTTGATATCGATGTGTATCTGAAAAAGTTGTCTTACATTTACAATTTTTCAATGGTTATGTTCTTATAGCAAAAATGTAGAAAGGCCAAATAATCTCATTAATATGGCTGAGAATTAGTTGTGTTGCTCTTATATGATTGGCTTGTCCATATTGAAAGTAAAATAGTTAGCCAACCTCTTTGTTCTCATAAATACAGGTGCCGTTTCTGTATTCATTCCATGGCCGTGGATTATCGTAAGGTGAGACTTTAGGATATTTTTTTAGTATGCATAGCTTTGGGAAGATTTCAGTCGAACTACTTTGTACCGATAATTGTTGAGATTACCATGATTCCTTGTCCTCGAGCAAGAACCAATTCCAGTACCGGTTGTCGTCCGACCAGCAAATGTAGAGATCTTTTGCAAACAACATGAAGCAGTTAACCAGCGACTTCCTTTCAACCCAGTACTTCTGCATACAGTAGAACTTATCTGTCAGAACTATAAGGCATGATAATTGAAGAATAAGGAATCTGTTACCGTGAAATAATTAATAGCATACTTGCCTTCTTCTTTTGGTTCAAGAATACACCAGCACAAAGTTGATCATTTAGCTTATTTGTCGAGGATTTATTTACTGGTTTATCGGCATCTTTCAAAATGTTTTCACAGTTATGAGGCACTGACACTGTCTGAATTTCCTTGGCATGGTCAGTTTTCTTTATCTGTGGTTGTGCATAACTTGGGCCTTCAACTGACTCTGAATGTTTATCTTTTGATATCTCCGCCCCCATATTGTCAAACTAGCTAGTTTGGAAGTTTACTTGAAGCGTTATCTTGTTTTTATAGAGTAACGAAAATATTCTCCAGCTTTATTAAACTTTCATTTGGGAACATGTAATGCAGCTTTTGTGGTGAATGGATAAGAAGAGAATCCTCCTACTACTTTAAGAATCATATTCTGTATCATCTTAAGAATATCTTTCCACGCGGTGTAGGGGATGGACTTTGCTATAATGGATGCTTTGTCGCCATTTATTCTTCGCTGTGTGGTAGTCCGACATGACACTTCATTGGTGTTCGATTCCAACTGAGTGCATCCTTCCCAATCTTGATGTGGAGTATTGTTCGAATTTCAATGAGGAATGATTTGGAAGTGATCAACCATCGGAAGCAAAAACGAAAATGGAAAAAGAAAAAGATAAAAAAAAATGCCTAAGCGATCAGCCAGGTTTTAAGGCTGGGCGACCACCCTACATCAACATTTGGCTCCCGCAGCCAAATGGTTATTCTGGCGATCACCCTGTTTTGTACTTGGCGACCGCCAGCATAAATAAGTGTCTGTTGGAGTTTTGAATTCCGGTGACGTTTTGGCATTCTTCACGCCTTATTAGCTTGTTTTTTGACACCATTTCGTGCATGATAGTTGATATACAATATATAGAGATGGTTTTCATGTTGAGAAACATATCGAAAACATCAAATTGTTTCACTTGTATCCAAATCAAAGATCAAATCAAGTTTTCTCATAGTATTCTTAAAGTTCCTTTTCTAAATTTATCTTCCTTGATTCAAACTTGAATTAAGGTTTGTTTCCTCTTGTAAACTATTTGCCTTTGAAAGCCTTCAAGCATTTATTCCGGTGGTAGTAAATATCTTATGAGGAAAGCGATTCATAATCATGCTCAAACCTTCCACTTTGATGGATTCTTGCTGCTGGTTTTATTGTTTTACATCAACATCAACTTTGTACAACACTTGATGATATAGTAAACCTTAAATGATATTCGAAAATCCATAAAGAAGGCCTTGAAATCCAATTTTCCTGTCACCTCAAGCCAATTTATCCACAGAAGAATTTCAGCCTCTTCAAATTCTATGTGATCACATCTCGAAAAAGGGATGCTGACTGATCCATCTGAACTTTGTAATCTTATGTAATAGTGATCCTGCCCTCATAAGATTTGCCGTACACAAGTGATGTGAAACCCCATTCACTGAAAAAGAACGTGGCTACACTGACAGGAAAAAAAAATTATATTTCTGAAGATCAAAAACTTGTTGCAGATTTTGTCATCGAAAATCGAAGCTTGAAAACCTTTTTGCAAGAGCTTTAATTGTATGATGGGGGGGGGGGGAGGGGTGCGAGGTTGAATCCCAACCTTGAGGGCCTCACCGTCCCGTCCCTAGAGTTTTGTGAGTGAGGTAAATCGTGGGATGTGTTTCAACAGGTCAAGGAATAAGAGCTGTTTGTACACTGCGCCTACAAGAAGTTCAATTCCATGTCTTATGAATCGAACCTCCACACTGTGGCTGCCAGCAAGGCGTGAGATAACCCCACTCCCGTTCTTTGCACCACTGGACTATGCCCCGAGGGGCGAGTTTTAATTGTATGATATAATACACAATAAGAAGGTGTGCAGTGGATTTAACTACTTACACCCTTCTAATGAGCACTTCTTTCTGGTTATTCATCTCCAAAAAAGCTCAGTGTACAGAATAAAAAAATACCAGAAGGCTTACAGCTTCTCAGATGGAGTGGGCTTCATGTGGATATTTTATTGCAAAAAAAAATAAACCACCCACCTCACCTATGTCTTATCTGTAAAAGATTTGTGATGTATTCCCCTGTACATGTATCTTGGTTCATTCATCTTTGCTCGTATAATATTTTCCATGAAAGATCTTGAGGACGAAATAAGGAATTAGTCTCAATTCTCGACACGTAAAGAAAGACGTGAGAATATTGGAAATTGCACATATATTAATTCATATGCTTAATTTCATAATTAATTAAGTGGCGTAACTAAATGCCAACCAATTTGGAAAAGGACTGATGCCAAGATAATCTTATTCTTTTGCTTTTGCTTTTGTGTCAAAATCAAAATGCAAGTAACCATGCTCCTTTCGTCACTCTGGAGATAAAATCCATAGGCATTATTCTTTTTCTTCTCTTCTTTATTTTCAGAAATGAAAAATGTAGGGTTCGAATAATGGATTTTCTGGGTTTATAAGTTTATCTTTCTTTTCCTTATGCTTCCAGTCCTCCATGTGAACGTTGCCACATGTCCAGATTAGTATTGATCTTTTAAGTAATGTAATTTAACGTGATATTAGAGTAGAGAGTCAGCCACCTAGAAAATATGTTAGGACGAGATGAATTACAACCGGATGTAAGGATGCTAATCAAAGTTTATCCTTTGTAACTAAAGTTATTCAGGGTGTGTTTGAGTCTCATTTTCTGAAAAAATAGATTTTGTAATAGTTATTTTTTTTCTTTTTTTTCTATTTTAAGAATGAGTGATTAAAGTGTAGGGGAAAATTTTGGATTTGTATGTAAAATTAATTTATTGAAAGAATGCATAGTTGGAAACAAGTTTGGAAAAAAAATGCGTTTTGCTTGTTGTTTTTAGTTTTGCAAAACACTAAAATGTATTTGGTCTGATATTTCTAAACATGTAATTTTGATAACAAAGTTAAACTTATAATATATGAGTATCTCCAAAATACTTTTCATTTTTTAAGAGTATATTATAACATTTAGAGAGTAAAAAATTCGAAGCATTCCAGCAGACTCTTTATATTTTAACATTTAAATTTACTACTCCTAAGATATTATTTTACTAAATTGAAAATTAAAAAGTGCATTTAATTATAGAGAGTGAACTTGACTCTCCAAATTTAAAGAGTCAAACCCACTCTCTAAATTAAAATATTAATTTAAAGAATTTATTGGAGCATAATTTTAATAGTTAACTCTTTTAATAGAGAGCATCTAATGTTTAAAGAGTCACTTGAAGATGATTTAAAATGAAAATTCATTTTTGACATTTAGAATGTTTATGGTGAAAATTATAAAAGTATTTAAAACAAGAAAAACAAGCGTCTAAATAAAACTTTATATAAATAAAAATTTTAAAAATAGAAAGCAAAATTCTAACAAATAAAAATTTTAAAAATAAAATTCAAAAAAATAAAATTGATAAATTCTGAAACATAAAAAAAGAAATTCTAAAAATTAAAAAATAAAAATTATATAAAAAATAAAAACAGTTAAAACTCTTGATGATTATTTACATAAAAATTCTAAAAACATTTAAATGAATACAAGTCCTTCAAATTCAATGCGAAATGCCATTAAAAAACTGAACTAATCACTGCTCCTCTCTAAAAGTAATATATTTCTCACATGCTTTCAGTCCTTCTGATTTCGTAAGAACCAACTCATCCCAAATTGAATTCATAGTGGCGTAAAATTCACGAATACTCATATCCTTCTGATGTAAAGCTCGTATATCAATTTCCAATTGATATCGTATTGAAAAGTTAGATTTAGTGTATGACTTCTAAAAGTGTTCCCAAACTTCCTTTAATGTTTCTAACTTCGCTAATCGTATACCAATGGATTGCTCAATAAAATTATGAATTCAAGTGAGAATTTTCAAGTTGTTTGACTTCCAATTATTTTTAAATAAGATGAAGAAGAAGAAGAGAGAATTATCATGCACTCAAATAGTTTTCCTAGTCCCATATTTCGAGCTAAAACTTCATCCTCTTTCCTAAGCATACGTGGAAATAACAATACAAGCACAAGTACAAATATCCCATTGCCTTTCTATCTTCTTAAGTGACTTTACATAGAGATCTCCATACCCTTTGTTACACATACACAAATGTGCTTAAAGTAATGCTATTTAGCATCACTGATATTACAACACCAGTTTAGATGACACTAAGTGTCATAAATGAAATGTACAATTAGATAAATCACATAATTTCATCTTCAATTGTGCAGATATATAAATATAATATCACTGGTACTAGATAACATTATTTATGTGGATAATATGCAAGTAAAAACATTAACAATAATTTAGAGAAAAGAAAGTAGACTTGTTGGGATGAAGGGTTCATCTTACGGGTAAAACAAACATCTTCTATTAACAGAGAAAGGAGCCAAACCATTTAAAGAGATGAACTGTATGATGGTTTCTTCAAAATGAAAAATTGACACCTCATCCCAGATTATGATATGAGTCCTAGGTTCGGAGAAATGAACTCTAGCTGTTACAACCCAATTTTTTTAGTCAAATATCAAAAGTTGACTTGTCAAAGTCTTAGTTAAATAGGTACTAAAATGAAATAAATTATTTTATTGGAATTTATTTCACAATTGAAAATATTTAAGGGTTTAAGATGGATAAAATAAAATTTTGAGTATGTACTCATTTATTAAATGAAGTTAAGGACTTAATATTATGTATAATTGTTAAGTGGAAAACTTGATTTGTAACTGTTGAATAGTGGAGGACATGTGACATACATATAACAAAAACCCATTTTTCATTTTTCATTAGATGTACAAAGAGAAAAAACGGGAAGAAGCTGGAGAAAAACCAAGAAGAAAGGAAGAGAAGGAGAAAAGAAAGAAAGGAAAGGAAAAATGAAGGAACAAAAGCTTGAGTTTAAATTCTTCAATTCTTAAGGAGGTAAAGATGAAGATGTTTTATGGTACTATTTATGTTAAACATCTAGTTTATTGGATGATAAGAACATTGAATGCGTAGTGGCAATTAACTTAAGCAAATCCATACATTGTTGCACTGATTTCTCTATGATCGATTCGCCTGCAAAGGAATCCACTTATGATTTGGACAGTGGTGAAAGTCCCGTGTAGAAGTCGTGTTGTTCTTGATTTTCAATAGTGATCCCATGATTTGGACACTTCCTTATCAACTTTTTAAATTTGTTCCACGCCTCTTGATAGCTATCTTTGTCCCTCTATGGGAAATTTTGAATTTTTAATCTAATTTTTACTACCTTAACC